GCCCCGACCTGCAGCACCGTAGCCCTCCACTACTCTGCAGCCTTCCGGCTCCAGCTCTTCTTCCGAGCGGGGCTTGCCCTTTGCACTGCTGTGCCTACTGCCCTCCGGGTCACCGGGTCTCTCCAGGGCTGCATCGGGCCGGAGCCGTTCCATTGCAGACTCCGGGTTGCAGTGCCACAGTCTTAAATATGCTCGCTGGGAGCTGACCCAAAGCTGCCAAGCACGCTTGGCTGACCCTGCCCGGTGCCAGTCCTCGTGATAATCCTCCCTTTTTACTCCCCAGTCATACCAGTCCTTTCCCCCAGGACTCAACAGTTGCTTTATGGATTAGAGCACAGCAGAGACACTGTAAGAGATGCAATTAGCCTGGCACAACCCCCTCCAGAGAACCAACGTGGCCCTTTGATTCCATTTACTTTGCTTCATTCTTTCCCTTAGAAACACAGTCCAAAGGTCTGAGAGGGCATGGGCCAGCAGGCGAGGGGGTGCACAGACCCATTCACACTCTGGTAACGGGGAGTTTGAAAAGGTTTTTGTTTCCAGTGTATGCCTTGCCCAAATGATGATGAAGAGCCTTGCTCCCCCCAGCCATGAAGCCCTGCACATAGCCTGGCACAGCCCAGCACTGACCCCTGTCACCTCCCTGTTCTATGCCTGCTGCCCGTCGTGGTGGCCTCAGGGCAGCCTCAGGAGTGAGAGCTCAAGTAAGCTCCAGTCTCCGGCTGAAAGAGTTGGAGGCAGCTGACAAAAAAGGGAAGTACCAAGATCTACAATGTGTCAAGCAAAAGGGTCAAAGAGTCCCTCCACATTCTGAGGTGGTTTGTGTTTGTGTCCCAGCTTGCTGGCTGCCTGTTGTGCCTCCTGCATGCGAGATGGCTCCTCTTATCCCCTTCTGTGTCTGCTCTCTCAGCCTGACCCCAAAGGTGGATTAGGTCCAACCAGCTGCCTGGAGACTGAAGCTGCTGCCTGTGGCTGATCTCTGTGTCTGTAGGATCCACCTGATGGCTGGGCGGGTTCCCCAGGGTGCAGACCGGGCAGCAGTGGCAGGGGAGATGGAAACCACCTTCATTGAGAATCTCACATATGCTGCTGACCTCCTGGCCCAGGTAAGTGGGGAACAGGTCCTGCTCCATGGGTGCAGCTCTTAGGGTACCAAGATGGAGAATCCTGCACCCATCTGGCATGGGGAAGGAGCTCTCACTGCTGCAGGAGACAGATGTTCTGTAGGGTGATATTGCTGTGTTACAGGAAGACATGATTGGACTGGTGGAGCCTATTAACAACCGCATCACTGACCCTCGTTACTATCTGAACACCCCGCACCAAGGTACGGTGTCTCTTGAAAGAGACGAGAAGAATCCCCCAAGTCTGAAAGGCAGGAAGGAGGTTGCCTCACCTACAGGGAGATGCTGAGGGAGCACAGTTGATGAAGGAGGGGAAGGTCTCAGAGCTTCACTGTGAAGCTTCCAGCCTGAGCGTCATGGTCTCTCCATTTCTTGCACCCTTAGCTGCTGCCATCCTGGAGAAGGTGGGACGGCCCAACCTGAAGCTGCAGCTGGTGAGTCAGCATTGAAGATCTCCAGGGTCCGTCCTCCACCAGAAAACCTTACACAAACCCACTAGGGAGTCCTAGGGGCTGTGGGCTTGTTATCCCCTCCTGGGGATATGGGGAGGGTCAAGGACCATAGCACAGCCAACCTTGACTGCTAACTGCTGAACAGCTGCACCATCCCTCTCCTCTCTGCTCCACAGGATCTCTTTCACTGCCAGATCATGGATGGGAATTTGTCACGCAACCTGGAGACATACTTCCCACTCATTGGTAATGCCCAAACCAGCTCCTCTGTGGCCATGGGGCAGGAACGGCTTGCAGATGGGGTCCTCCTGCCCCACACTCTACTACGGCTGGCTGCAGGCACCGGATTGCTCTTGGATCACCTTGTCGAATGCCTAAGGAAGGCTGCAGGCAGGACAGAGCTTTGGAGAGAGCATCTCCCATTCCCTTCCTAGGGCATATCCAGATCGCACAGGTGCCAGGGCGGCATGAGCCAGACAGCCCTGGGGAGCTGAACTTCTCCTACATCTTCCAGGTCCTGGAGTCCCTTGGCTACACCGGCTACGTGGGGTGCGAGTATGCTCCGAAAGGTGAGTGGGGCTGCAGGTGATTTGAGCCCCATGGGCAGGTCCAAGTGTGGACCAGCTGGCTAGGTACTGTGCAAAGACAGGCAGGCCGTGGGCATCAGAGCCCCTGCCTGGGGATGAGAACCCTGCCCAGAGCAGAAGCTGCTCCAGCTTGCCTGGGAACGCCAGTAGGAGACCTTGACTGTCACTGCAGGAGACACCCTGGAAGGTCTGGGCTGGCTGCGGTCATACTGGGAGAGTCAAGGGCTGCAGCATGGTGGGACCAGCAAGGCAACAGAGTAAAAGGAAACTGCTGGAATAAAAGTCAAAGCAATGGCTTAGCAGAGGAGCATGTGTGTCTTCTCTTATGATTAGGGGGTGGTGGTAGGTAGGATGATTCCTAGGGCAACGTTAGGAGCATCTATGTCCTATTCCCTTCCTCAGGCCTTAATGGGCCAGTCCAAGCAGCTGGACTCTCATCTATGCAAGTACCATCTGCAGCATGTCATATATGGGGGTGGCTTGGGCACCACTGTAGGTGACTTCAGGTACACAGGAGAACTTTCACTTCCAGTCTGCAGGGGTGTCCAGGGAGAGGTTTCCAGTCTCCCCTCCTGAGGGGAGCATTCACACCTAGGGAAGGGTGCAGGTTTTCCCAGTCCAGCTCCAACTGGTGCTTGGAGTTGTGGGAAAAAGGCTCTGGGATTCCAAGTCCTGCAGTTCTCAAGGCTGCTGCCACTGCCCAGCACTGACCCTGCAAACAGATGGGGAAAATGAAGCAAGCAGCCTCCTCGCAGGCTGCCTGAACCAAGGTAACAGGCTGGGGGCTGCCTGCCCTGCTGCTCCTGCTCCAGAGCAAGTGTGAGACTCTAGAGCAAACCTAGCCAGTCCTGGAGCCAGGGTTGCCTCTGCATTCCCTTTGGGAGGCTTTCCACATCCTAGTCTACGGCACACGAGTGGGAATTTGGTTCAGTTTATTTCACAGAGACATCAATGGCTTTAATGTACATCTCCATCAAACCTTCCCCTGGTCCAGATCACCCTTCCTATCCCATCTGATGCTCTCCTGATGAAAGCAAAGGGACAGAAGTGGGCAGCCTCACTGCTCAGAGCCCTGAAGTCTTTCCACCTAAAGCCAGAGCACTGTGCGATGCTGCCCTGTGCAGAACTGGTGCTCTGTGTTCTCCTCTGTGCCTTCCCGGGCAGGCAGAACTCACCTGCAGATGCCAAAGCTGTGTCCCTGAGAATCACTCTGCTTCAGCCAAGCCACAGCAGCCAAGCTCCTGCCCTTGCAGTTCAGCCCAAGGTCATTCAGTATCAAATCCACTGGCAACAGTGCACTGAGGGCCACACCAGCGTGCACGGAGGTGCATATCCCCAGGCTCCTCAGCTCAGCACCCTCACATGTCACCAGCAGCGCTGCCTGCGGTGCTGGAGCCTGTTCTTCCCCATGCTGACCCATGGCACAGCCACGCCAGGAGGTCTGGTACACGTGCTGCTCCAGGATATGAGTGCCAGTGCTAGAGCAGGCCTGTCCAGAGGTTGAAGCAGGCAGTGTTGATAACTGACTCCAGGTGGTGGTATGTAGACACAAGCTGTGGCAAGGGGCTCTCGCTGTTCTGGGGCTGCACTGGGAATGGCTCCCGAAAAACCACGGTGAGGCTCTGCTGAGAGGGAGAAACAGGTCAGGGGAAGGATTCAGAAAAGCACCGTGCAGCCCCTAACCCAGGTGCATGGGGACTTTTTTTGGCAGTTCCAGGCAGATACCGGGAGAAATCCCAAAATGCCAATGGCACTAAGCTAGTGCCTCCTCCTGTGACAGAGCACGCTTCAGCCTCTTCCCAAATTTTCTGGAGAAATCAGATGCAAGGACTTGCCCACTCACTCTGCCCCAGCCCCCATACATCTGCAGTTATTCCAACCCCAGCAGCAGCCTCGGGAGAGGAGGGGATCCTACTGCCTCCACAATAATAGGGGCTTCCAGGGAAATTAGAGGGAAATTTCTTCTCCTAAGGCAAAGAGTAGGAGTGCAACAAATGGGGAAGGGGAGGAGATTAAACGTAATAACTGCAATCCTAAAAATAAATGCTGGCTGCTCCATTCTAATCAGTGACTTTACTGACAAGGCAGGGCAAGGGCAGAGGGGAGCAGAGAACAGGGTTCAGAAGAGAAGGTTGCAGGAGCTGAAGCAGAAGAAAAACATGAGTGACGTGGTGTGCTCGGATCAGCAGCATGGAGGCAAGGCAGAGACTGGATGTTCTCCAGAGCTGAAACACAGCACATAAAATCATCTAGGTTGGAAAAGACCTTTAAAGATCATTGAGTCCCACCATTACCCCAGGACTGCCAAGCCCACCACTAAACCGTGTCACTGAGGGCAAACTGATCTCCCCTCAAGATCTTCCCTCGTGGCTGCCCCTCATGATCTCCAGTCACACCCACCCCTCATCTGCCCTCTCACAGTGGCCCACGCTATATAGCTGCTGCTCCTACCCCTCACAGCCACACCTCATCTCCCCGCAAGACCTCTCCTCACGGCCCATGGCTGCCCCTCGCGCCCCATGCCTGCCCTTCTCTCGCCTCACAATCTCCCTTCACAATCGCCCCACCTTTCCCTAAATGATCTTCCTTCATGGTCACCCTTCTCTCCCCTCACGATCACTCCTCATGGCTACCCCTTCTCTACCCTCACGATTTCTCCTCAAGGCCACCCCTTCTGCCTCCTCACGAACTCCCCTCACAACCACCCCACCTCGCCCTTCACGATCTCCCCTCATGGCTGCCCCTGCTCTCCCCTCACAATCTCCCCTCATGGCTATTCTTCCTTTCCCCTCGTGATTACACTCATGACTGCATTTAACCCCTCATGGCCGCCCCTCCTTTCTGCCCCGGCTTTCCCTTCACAATCTCCCCTCATGGCCAGCTCTCCTCTCCCCTCGCAATCTCTCCTCACCCCTCATGGCTGCTCATTGTCTCCCCTCATGACCGACCCTGCTTTCCCCTCACAATCTCCCCTCATGGCCAGCTCTCCTCTCCCCTTGCAATCTCTCCTCACCCCTCATGGCTGCTCCTATTCTTCTCAGGATCTCCCCTCACAACCATCCCACCTCTCCCCTCATGATCTTCCCTCACACCCCTCATGGCCACCCCTGATTTCCCCTCATGAACTCCCCTCAAGACTGCCCCTGCTTTCTCTCACGATCTCCCCTCTTGACTATCCCTCCTGTCCCCTCATGGTCTCCCTCTAGTAGCCAGGATCCTCTGACAAGCTCATAAAGCCATGAGAGCAGCTACGTAACTGCAGAACAGCAAATGCACCACCAGCATTTAAGAGGGAAGAAAAGGTGATTTGTAAGCCTAACTCCAGCAGCATGCAAGGCTTTAGAGCAGGCTCAGAGAGAAAGAACCATGATGAAAATGCAGCTCTGTTTTACTGAAGTGATGTGCTAATGCTAGAGTTCTCTTTGATAAGGTAATATTTCTGGACAAAGGAATCATGGTATATCTTATCTGAACTTCAGGAAGAATTTGATGTAGTGCCACATGGGAAATTTAGGTAAGCTGCAAAGATAGGAATTAACACAAAAATTATAAGGTGAAGATGGTAGTACTGAAAGGGGAGGAAGCAGGCTGGAGAGAGGTTACAAATGGGAGTTCCTCCAGGACAGGCTTTGGGACTCACGTTGCCTAGTACTTTAATGAGTCTGGCACAAAGATGAGGAATGTGCTGATAAAGTTTGAGGCACTAATACAAAAGAGGACTGGGATGATGCAAAAGAAGCCCTAGAGAAGCAACAAGAATGGGATGAATATTAAGTGCAAAATACAAGGTAAGGAACACAAAAGATTTCTGCTGTAAAATGGGAGTCATTGGGAGAGGTGACAGAGAGTCTGGTGTATCATATCAGTGGGTACAAAATGACAGTATGACCTGTGAGACATGACCATGAAAAGGCAAATACCATTCTAGGATTTACCAGAAGCACTGAGCAGGGACAGAAAAGCCTCAGTGCAATTGCAGAGGGATCTGCTGAGACTCCTCAGGAATACTGGGTGCAGTCCCAGATACCTATATTTACGAAGGCTGTCCTGAGCCCTGATGGGCTCTGAATGACAATAAAGCCATTGGGGAAGGAAGACTTAAGAGCTCATCCTGCTTAACACACAACATGGAGTTAGCAAAAATTCCACCTTTAGATGTGGAGGTGAACCTCAGGGACCAGGGAGGAAGCTGGTACCTGCACCGTGAAGAGCAGTTTCAGCTCTGAGCTGCCAGTGGCATGAAGAGGATAGAACTGGCCAAGACAAAAGCTCCAGCAAAAGATGGGAAGAGCTCTTCGCTATCAGGTGTCAGGAGGCACCGAGCAGCCTTCCAGCAGCCACCATCTCTTCTGTCTCCCCTACCTGCTTTTAAGATGGAGTGTGATTTACTTACAAAGGGATCAGTTATGCTGCAGCCTCTCCACAAGCCTGTGAACCCAGATGTCCGTAAATCCCCTGCTCTCACATGGAGCTGCATTCCCTGTGACCCACTCTGCACCTGCCTGGGAGTGCAGCCTGAAAGCAGAGTATTTTGTCCCTCAAGTCCAGTGAGAGCCAAGGCCCACACAGGGTTTGCTGGAAACCTCACAGTGCAGGTCCCCTTCCCTTCTACTCAGGTAGGTGCAGCCCACAGCTCTGGCAACCCCTCCCAGCCAGACCCAGTGTGATCTGGCTTTGGACTGAATACAGAAGGACTCTTTAGCCTGGACAGAGAGACAGCTGAGAGCATGATCCAAAAGCAACCCTATGAAGAAAAAGAGGATCACATCCTCACTGTTTTCCAACATAAGAACAAAGGGGCATCACGTGACAAGAGTAGAAGGAGCTTCAAAAACAACCCAAGGAAACTAGCTCTTCACTTAGATTGTAATTGTTCATGGAACTGCAAGTCAGGGGAAATCATGGACGTTAGAAATTAACCAAAGGAAATAAAGCCACGGAGGACTATTAAATAAATGCAAAGGCCATTTCTGGTACAGGATGGGCCTGAGCCACAGATTGTCAGATGTTGGGACAGTATTTAGGAGAGGTATTCCAGACTTCCTGACCTGCTCTTATTCTCCACATATGCACCTGCCATTGGCCACTGATGGATGAATCTAGACAGATCTCTATGTTGAGCCAATACAGCTGCTTTTATATTCCAAAATTCTTACCGTCTTTCCCGAATGGGAATCAAGAAACACAAGAACGAAGCAATCCGTGAACTTCTGGTTGAGCACGACCTGTCAGGAGAGCCACAGCACAGGCTGAAAAAAGACAGTACAAACCCCAGGACAAGGATACAAACATCC